CTTCATCTCCATATACGGCACATAACTTCTTTTGTGCTTGCGATGCGTTCTTGCCTTTTCGGAAGTAATACAATAAAATGTGTCGGAAGTGCACGTCCTGTTCTTTCATTTTTAAATTGGGATAAAAACAAAACTAAAGAACTAAACAAAAAATTTTTTTACTAATTGACCTAGAAGCCCACACAGTAAGAAAAAATATAGGTTAGATGTTCTGGCCACGTTAACAAAACAAAAGAAAGTATAGAGTGAATCTGTCAATAAAAACGGCAATGACTTAGTTGCCCACCCAATAATATGTCGTGAAAAAATAGAATTTGAATGATATCGAGAAGGAAATTGATTTACCTATGCTATAGAAAAAAAATTTATTACAAAAGCCTTAAGGCTTTAAACGCGCAAACTTAATGTTTCTTTAAATAATGGAGACTTCAATTGTGGTGGAATCATTTGATTGTCATCTTCAACACCAACATCACTAATACAAGCAGTTTACTTCCATTGAGATTTGAAAAAACGAACATTCGGCTTATGTGTTATTTTGAATTCTATCAGAGGTAGGGTAGTAGTATTAAGTGTTTTCATTTTCAAATCTTGCTAAAATAAAATATAAGAATAGTTAAAGGGCCATGCAATATAATGGGTGCTCTACCTTTAATGACAGGTGAAAATACATTTACAAGATAACACACAAATTAGAATAGAAAAATACAATTTATATGAACGCACACGATGGTATCGAATCACCCATATTGGCGTGGTCTAATTAACAAGACATGACATCTCCTTATCTATAAATTCAATAGTCACTGTGGCCAATAGGAATGCGGTAAAGAGTGCTTAAAAGAGTCGTCGTATGTGTTGAGTCTGCTGAAGACAAAAGCGAATAAGACAAAAATGGTGCTGAACGTATGAGACACAAAGAAAAAAGGACAAAATTTGGTTTACTGCAATATAGAAGAATGCAGACAATTTGGCCGAAAAAGAGTCAAAATGCCACCTTGTAAGTTCTTCAATGAACGAGTTAACTCCATTGTGGTTAAGGCGAAAATAATTCAGTTGTAATTTCTTAGGTTATTAGGCCAAGTCCCTCTACTTTACTATAAAATCCTATGCACTTCCTTACCCAAATAATATAATTTATTCTGGAATAGCGGTTAATCCACTGGCCATCTGTTGAGGCTTACCAAGAAAAATAGAGCCATGAATCGAATAATATCGTTGATCATCCTAGCGAGAGAGATTTGAAGAGGTCCAAGGAGTTCCCAAGCAGGCATTAGGTAACTCACTCTTGCAAATGAAAGCACATTTGCCAACGCAAAAAGACAGTCCGAGATGTACTCAGGATCATCCGGAGCCCACCAAAGACGACCTGAAAGTTAAGAATTGAGAATAATTTAACGATATCGATTTTGACTAACGCGAATATTACCATCATTAACTTTAATTAACTCTGTCATTTTAAGAACATAGAGGCTACTTAAGATTACAGACGATCATTCTGTTTTTTTCGAACTTAGGATGAATATAAAAATTAAGCACCTTAATTAATCTACTGGTCAATAGAAACTCCGAAACTTCATTTTCGAACTTTAAGAAATTACAGTTCATTTCATAGCACAGAGGTACAATTAAAAATGCGAATTGAAATGGTAATTTGAGTTTATGACAGAAAAAAATTAGCGACTTTTTGACATTAAATACCCACCGTGAATTGACCAGAAAAGAGAAACAAATAAAGTCCGGAAACATTCCTGAATATATAAACCTTAATTATCTTAGCTGTGTTCTTATCCTCGTATCCATAACACAAATAAATGAATTCATTCCCGCCTTATATTGTTAAATTATTGATTTATTAAATTATGCATGCCTCTTCAACTCGGTTGCCAAACGGTTCAATTCTCAATAGTGATCATTTAATTGGCCTTTCGCACGCTTTTAACAACTTCTTTCTGTTCTCTGCAAATATGACGTCAGTTGTAACGAAATGTTCACTTATGCTCGACTTATAACTGGTAGTTGGACATAATATTAGAGATATATAAATTTCTCTCACGAAAATGAAAGTTTTCTTTGAAATCCATGTCGCAGTTGGAGTCACATCAGAAAAATTGTGAAGTTAAGTTGGGCCTGAAAATAGTTTTTAAGACAATGCGGTGGAGGGGGAGGGGGACAATTTCACCGATTTTTATGGAGAAAAATTTGAGGCGTTTCAAGGGAGCATCAACCTGTTTGCTGATAGAAGATTGCAAAGGTTCGAAGTTGAGCAAGTTTAAATAACTGGTGCTTTTACAACTCTCATTTTAATTTGATGGATGTCTTTACTTTTATTTCCCTTTGTTGCGTCAGACCAAAAAAACAGTGAATGGCAAAATCAAAACTTTAATCCTCTTTGAAGAGCAGTCCGCTTTGAACCAAAGTCGGTGAGGTTGGCAAACAGATGTATGCCTTTGAGGCAATTGCTTAGTGGGCGAGATTGCCATTTTTTCTGCACAATTTAGATTGCTTGTATCTTTAGATGCTTGAGGTATTATTTATATTTGACCATCAGGAACACGCATTGCATCAAAAATTCATCAATGACTTAGAAGTAATGGAACTTATGCTAGCGCTAAGATAGTTTAGATGCTTGTTTACTTTGAAAGACCAAAAAGTTACAGCTTTTTTCTAGTAACTAGATATTCTACTGGTGATTAAGGCACGCGTTTAAATGATGAAGAAAATCCAAACCGAGGGAGAGCGTATTTCAATAGTTAATAAATTAAAAGTCCTAAGGCCTTAGTTAGCAAGAGTAAATATACTTTTAATGCGCCGAACGACTACACCTCATAAAATGACCGAGAAATTGATGCTGAAAAACACAAATTTTGATTTTATTTTCCCATATAGTTGAATAATGACGGAGCACAATTTGATAAAGAGAAAGAGTAAGTAGTCAATTTTTCTTATACAGGTGTCGTTTTTAGATGATTCTGCTTAATATGAGTTAATAGATAGACTATAACGACTTTCTGATCAGCCGCAGAAAATTCTTTAAACATTACGGGTTCATCATTAAAGAGTAGAAAATATTGAATAAATTTGGAAGAAAACTGTTAATGTGAAGAGTGATATTTCAAAATAATCAAAATGATTGATCAATGTAATAATTCCAAATACAAATTAATCACGTGGCAAATGACATGGCTGTCATGTGCATTACTGCTACGTCAACAGTTAAATATGAGTGCTACCCACTGACGTACACAAGTGAAAAACATTGGAACGCGATTTTTCCTTAATATAAATTATCTGCAAGAAATTAAAATGAAAATCTTTCGCAATTAATTTGTATGATATCTAGTTTGAATAGGAGAAATATGTGGTATTTAACCTAACCAAAGTAGTAATTTCACTGAAAGAACTTAAATTCTTCGTCTTATAAATAATTTGATAATGAATTGCGCTTCATTTCGTACAATTATAACACCTCATCAATGGTAAGTTGAGCCTGAGTGACGATTTCCGGTTAGGTTAAAATGAGCCACAATGTTTTTTGCAAGTTGCCAGCCTATGGAACTGTTTTTTCAGCGGAAATAGTAACTGTATTTCGCGATTATCCTATTAGTTTTACACCAATTAACTTTCCATTTATCTAATTTTTATGGCTTTACCTTAACTATATTTTGTATTGTTGCTGCGCTTTCACAATTTTTATCTAAGTTCACCATATTCATATATAAATTTAATATTAACAATTTAGTTCTCAAAATAACTCAACTTGTTTACATATTTCAAGCTTAATTAAATAAATAATGGAAGTATATTCATTTATCTGGTTTTATAGGAATCTGTATTATTTATAACATGAAATTATAAAAACGATCTGAAAAGCATAGACTAAAGTTATTTACACTTAAGTAAAATGCCATGGCCACTTACATCCACGAAGCCAGTAGGCAGTGTGGTTAGAGAGTAAATGGTTTCTATAGGCAACGTAGTTGTGCTGAGAATCAGTTCCCATTTCAGTATCAAATATATCAGTTCCGTCTGAAATGATTGTACTAGCATTTTGCAGCAAAGTCAGTGCATAATGGAGCTGATGATTAAAGGTTTTCTCAGTTGCCTGGACTCGAAAGTCAACGAATATTCGTAGTGCAAAGGCTCCCAGATAGAGCGACACGGACGCCCAGTCCATGATATTGTAATAACTTCGAAAGTAATCACGTAGACCGTAGTGATAGACTTGTTTACATTCACCAAAAAATTGGCCTGAAGCGTAAATGCAGTAAAATTAAGTATAATATTGGATATATGGAAACAGTTCAGTTAAGGAAATTAATTACCTGTGGATTTTTGAAAGAAATACCCCAATAATTCTCCCATTTCATCAAAATTCGAAGACCTTTAATGCATGGGCATGATACAGTTTTTATAGTATCTTATCACTCTAGGTTATCAAATTTATTGATTTTCCTGGAACTTAATAGTTTATTGTAAAAACACTTTTATGAAATGAAGCTTATTTCCTTTTTGAATTTTGTATGAATCTGACATTCAAGTGTCCAGAGTTAAACTATGTGTTAAACTTACTTGAAGAGTCTTCTGTCAGCATTTCACATTCGTCTACCTAAGTACCTCTAGTTGGTCCAATTAAATGCTGAGTGATTGGCGAAGGCATGATCTCTGGATCTTCTGTGCATATTCACATATTATAGCAACTAATTAAAACTTTAGATATTTGACCTATTCTGATAAAAAACTCTCTTAATTTGTACTAAGCGTCAAGCGCATTTTCAAACAACCAACACTCATTTTAGTATAAGCAGAATTTCAATGTTTTCGAACATCTTCCTTCCTAATGAGCCATTGTTATTGAAAAGTTTTAAGTTGTACTTGGAGCTCAAAACTAATCGATTTTTTAGCTAGTGATTATGATATAAAACATCCAATGAATTATAAATAAGAGTTGTTTTAGTAACTTGTATTTTGAACTCAGATTTCTGAGGACCGGTGTGTCATTCAATCAAGAGGTTCACAATACTACTATTCATAAGAAAAGCAAGTTTTCTAATCTCTCTAAGATTGCTTCTATAAAATCTAGTGATCCTAAAGGCAAATTAGTTCCGAATTAAATGCTAGTGTTAAGTTGGTTAAGCGAAATGAATAAGAAGAGAATTTGGTGGCTGAGTGTATATAATCTGAGCTAAGATAACCGGAATTAAGATATGAAAATGCAATTAGTCGATGTCGCGTTGTTGGTTCTTTGTCGAACACCGGCAGTTAGAGGCTAGGTATGAATCAATAGTTATATAAAACAAAGTACCACATACATAGCTAGTTATAAAATATAAAAAAGTATTAAGAAGGCTGGAAAGCTTTGGCTTAACAAAATATTAATTAGAACTCGTGATCCATTATGAATATATACTTTTCTTTTAACCAGAAATCTTTTGATCTGACGCGAGATTAGCATTTCGTAAAAGCTACTGGCAAAGTATTGAAAGAAGTATTGGTATGCCCTTTGTCAAGTAATCAACTCTTGAGAAAAATAGCCTCTCCAAGAAAAAGAGAAATTTCTCCAAACGTACTAAGATATAAGGGTGAGTTAAAATGTTGACAGACAAATTTCATAATTTATGTATTTAACATGCGATTACATTCCGTTTAATAAATAGGCTCCATTGTTTTCTATGCACTTTTGTTATCTATATTTAAACCTTAAATTCCCTCATTGTAGAATTTTTGGGACTGTTTCTGTTACATGCTTTTCATTTCAAATAAAGGCGTAGATTGAGTGCCTTTGCGTTGTTTTTTGCAGTTTCGGAAACAGAAAATGTCGGCAGTAGTTATGTGTTGACTATAAGGAGGATGTGGAAGTGTTTCCCACCGAACTTAGCTAGATAGGGCTCTGACAGCTCTTGAAAAGTATGCGGAAGCATTGCCATGATTATAAAATTTGGGCAAGATTGTGTCTTCAAATTCTTCAGAACACCTTTATGATAACCTGAGTCGACCATTTTCTGTTCTTCTAGAAAGCCTATTAACATTACCCCTTTTAAATCCCAAAATTCACTGGCCATGAACTGCTTAACGGACCTTTAAGCTTTGAATTTGACAGGGCCAGATGCTCCCTTCGGATGGCACTCTTTGATTGAATTTTGTTTTGTGATTATATTAGTAGATCCATGTTTTACCTCTAATAACACAGTACTTAAAACTATCTCCATTCGCATCCATCTCTGCCCAAAGTTGCTAAAGAAAATTTAGTTCATTGAATCAGTTATTTTTCCTGTCCACCGAGGGCTTGTTCATGTCAAAATTTACAGTGAGATTTAAACATTATGACTCTTTTGCGATTTACACTTTAGTAGCAATTTCCTTAATGGTAAGTTATCTGCACAAGAGAGTTGTTTTCTTGATTTCTTAGGTCATCATCAAGTTGAACTCTTCTCTCTCCAAAGCGTTTAATACAATAAAAATGGTTGCTCTACATGACACAGAGTTCTCATAAATCTGTTTTAAAGCTTCCATGATATGAACAGGTTTCCAGTTTAGTTTATTCACAAATTTTAGAGTGCAATCTATCCAGATCCTGATCTTACATAGAATGATCGGGGCAGTCAAATGTTATTAAGAAATCTCTGAAGACATGTTTGAACTTGTAAAAATTCGGAAATCCTTGTTTACGCACTCATGTTAGCTCCCTAAAACCAAGAAAAGTAATCCTAGAAGCTTAGTTTTCGGTTTCAAAAACAGGAAGTTTTCTGTAGGTTCTTCCTCCTTGAAATAAAATATTGATTATTGGATTTCCGTTTTCTTACCAAGATAATACAAGACCACGAGTGGAGAAATCATCACTGCAGTTATTGACAAACGGACAGCCAATTATTTACCATATATTCAATATTATCCCATTTATTTTCTTAATAGAACCCAGTTCATTTGTGCTGATAGTCTTTTTTCTTCATTTTGCGATTGGAACAGTTGTTGGTTCGAAAGGAGTAATTAAGAAAATATGAAACTGTTATCCTTCTTTTTTTTAAGTTTGTTATCCATTACTAATGGAAAGAACTTTTCCAGAAAAAAATCTATTAAAATAAAGACATGTTTATTTTTAAATAAATATATTATTAAAACATATTGTATGATGGCGTTCCATATATTTTGTTTACTAATCTGATATAGCCAAAACAGAATGATTTGAACGGAATAACAATTTCTTCTTTAAACTTGAAAAGCTTTCGGAAAAATTTAAATTTAACCCCTGTTCTAATTAAGAGGATTAAGTTGGAAACACTGTTGATTATTCTATTTTGTAAATTTGGATAAGAAAATCCATATTTAGGAAAATTGCTTTTAGATTGTCCCAAAGAGGAGTACTTATTCGATGACAACTTTTAACTCAATTTGACCATTGAGTTACTTTGGTGCTATTTTCGCCTTAACTAAATTACATCAGTTTTTGAAATTGCAAAATCTCCTTAGATGCGTTTTCAATTTTACGAAGAGAAAAATTCAATCTATCTGGCGTAGTTTCTGACAAATGTCTACCAAAAAACGACCTTGGCTGCTACGACACTGACTATTTAGCTCTACTCGAAGTCATTTATTCAGTTAGAAACTGAAAAAATGAAAAATCCTGCATAACAAAACTCTTTAGCTTCTCCTTGATCATACATATATTTAGAATTTGTGGCAAATTACAAAACGGTTTGAAGGGAAAGCGGAGATGTCATTACCGTCGGCTTACTAATATGCCGAAATAATGATACTGTATTCATGCTGATGTCGCTTTTAACTACCAGGTGTATGACTGTTCAATTATTTAATCCATTTTTCTTAAAATTAAGACCTAGTATTTAATCATACTTTCTTCCAATGCTTTACACTCCTTATATATAGGGGATGTGGAAATAGGTACAGGGGATTTTCCGTTACCAATTCATAAACAAATACAGTAATAAAATCCTATTCCAAGTTTACTGGACAAAGCACAATTATTTTGGAAAGGATAGGTTTCCCGCCATTTTCTAAAACACTATGCCATTAACATAAAAGGGACACGTTGAGACATGCTGGTCTGTGCAATAAATTTCAACACATGTTGTGAACTATTGAATGGCCAGCATGCTGCTATTCATAACATTCCGTTGTTAGTACTGTTAATTAAAAATATAGCATCAATTAGTTTGCCTTTCTGTATTAACGCCGGAACACCCTTAGTTTGGGCACCTGTGTGTTATGAAGTGTGAAACATTGCCTGAGCACGCATTGAATTTTAGGGGGTTAACAGGACTGGGCTCAAAAGCAACGTCATGTATGGCGCCTTATTGAGGAGGCAACAATGATATATCGCTATTCAATGCCCACGTTTTGATTTAAAACGTAATACAACCAGAACTGAATTTTTTTGAGCAATTAACTTTATTTTCAAAATGGTGCAAGCGATGGTCAAGTTGCAGACTGCATGTGTTGTTTCTTTTCTACGAATTTAATCGTAGCTCATTTTAATGGTGCTCTCAATCTATTCCTATGATCAACTAAATAACAAATCGTCTGAATCCAGTGATAATGAAATTGTTGAGAGGTGTTAGAGTATTTAAAAGAATAACTTCACTAATTTCAGTTTAATGCATCATGTTAATGTTAATCTAAAACCCTGTCATAAATTTCCTAAACTATCTGTGAGAAATGGTGAAATTGCTTCAGCGTTTAATTTGGATAGAAAAGTAACTTGGAACCGTTATTATGAGAAAATCTCAATCTATTACCAGTATGGACGTCAACACACATCACTGAAGGGACATCGGACTTAAGATCTATGGTTCAGAAAATGCTCACTCATTCAAGAACATTTATTAATTAATATGTACTAACATCAATAGTTGTCCTGAAGTTATCCATTAACGCCTGTTGGGTGATATGATAATTCTTAGTTTAGTACAGTTATATTAGTTCAGTTATATTTCATTTCTTTGCCATTGCTCAAATATTCCAACTAAATCGCTTGTCTTTTGCCTATCTTTGATAATGCAATACATTATCCGTTTGTTTTGAAAATAAATTGATTAGTTCTAAGCTTCTTCAAGTTTAATTGTGCAAGCGTCAAGATCACTTGTTTTTGAAGAAGAGAAGGAAGAGCCATTCTGACTAAAATTCTGAATTGAACAGCCCTTCCCGTTAAACCATGCGCATGATCATTTACACCACTGATTGTGCACAAATAAGCTTTTATCTCGACAGTCAAATTTATGTCTTACTCTTTGCTTCAGCTGTTAGAAAGGATAAACTTCAAATTGGCCCCATATTTTCCGACAACCATCATCGATAGCTTACCAAATATGTGGTTAACCACATCAATGACAAAAGAACGGCAGTTATTCTCCCCTATAAATAAACTCCATTCCTCATTCAAGAGCTTACTAGAATATGTATACTTTAGGTTGAGTTACAGAAAATTATCATTGTTTTCTAAATTATCATTCAAATGTTTGCGATTAATTTTGGGTAAGTCTGGTCGTAACCAGGTAGTACAAATTAAATGCCTAATTTACCTAATTTAGAGGCTGCAACTCTCAGGAAAGGTTTCTGCAAAAATGTTCTGAATGACTTTACCATTCAACCTACATACGTGTGCTATTTATACATTGGAAATGATTCGTAAAATAAAAATTAGCTTGCCTAATTTCAATGCTTATTAGGGACCCTCTGAATATCCATAATCCATCATTAATCGATAAATCGTAATGTATTTGTTTTTAAATTTTAAGCCACTTTAGAAAAGCACATCACAGGAGCAATTCTAGTTTAGAGGCATAACATCGTGAAACGCACCTGGTAAATAGATTGAATTTCACCATTTCTTTTACTGCCCTGTGAAATTCGCCAACAACATTTAATTAAGGAACCTTAATTAAGTAAACCTAATTAAGAAACTTGAAAGTATTCTCATCCTGCTGCCTTTATTGCTCAAAATCACTATTACGGTAAGTCTTCGACATGCGCACAGATTAGCACCTTCTCGAAAACACTGGTCTAGCCGAAGTCTCATTTTCTGTTCGAACTAATTTCTATGGCTCTAACTCAAGAATGACGAATAGCTTCTCATATTTATCAGATAGTCATCATTGCTTATCTTTGAAGTGTGCGATAAACGGCTTGTCTCATTAAGCCAAAAAACTTTATTTTCTTTTTAGTCTTTGACATGGTTATTTAGCTCCATAGAATAAATGCTAAAAACCACACTGTAGTTAAAATTCACACTAACTCCTGTTTGTCATTTATAGGTTAACAAATAGACTTTTCCTGAGAACTGTCTTGATGTGCGAATCTCAAATAATTTAAACAAGAAACTTTGCAGTAATGAAATTCGCTTTCATTTAAATACCACCAAACAATTTGGAATCGTTCTATGGTAGTACGAATGCGAATATTTATAAATTTCTGATCGTTAAAATTGTGAACAGCCTATATTGTGTTGAGATTGTAAAGGTATAGAGAGAAGGGAGGTACTTGAGGTAAATCTTCATGTTTCAAAAATCTGATACTTCATCTAGAACTGAACTCGGGAATCTGGACATGAAAATTTTACATGATTTCCCTCCTCCACCCACCCTTGTTCTTAATGTCTATGCATTCAGAGGATCTCTGCTTTCTATGAATAAATGTAATGCAACAAGTGTAAATAGGCCCAGATACGTCCTATGGTTAGTATCTTAGAAATCGAATCATCATTTTGTGCGGAGGAGTAGAATCATGATCCTCCATGCGAGGAAATCAAATTTGGACACTCTCTTGGTCTCTTATAAACTAGTGCGATGGAACAAAGTGCTCACTGACGGAGACCACTGACGGACTATTTAACTACTCTGTTACCCCGTACAGTTAGATAGCCAGAAACGCTACTTACCCAATATCCAAAACAGGAGGAGTAATTGAATTTTCGTCATGACTTGTTGACTACTTCGAAAGTCATAGCTCCATATTTGGTGGGCTCGAACTTTCCATTGATGAGGATTCTCCACTTCATCATCATCATCTTTGTCTAATCGAAAGGTCGCAACGGCAATGAGCAAAATGAATGTCAGATAGGACATTATATGTCCAATGAATTTAATAATTGGACAGCGCAGCAACTGGTCAACCTGAAAAGCGAGTTCAAAGAATAGAGGTTTCTCTGGCTAAAAAGTAGCTTTTAGACGGGAGGGTGTTTTATCTGATTAAGATAACTCTCACTATTTTGAGAGTCAAAACAAATTTGTAGTTAACCTGATTTAAAATTTTTGCTGCTTTTTAAATTTGGAAGCTACAAACTTCAGTCTTGATTTCAATGTACTGCTTTCGTTGTGCTTCTGAATATAGTTTCTGGAAATCATACGAACTCACGAAACTATAGATTTTTTGAAAAAATACAAGCATATTTTTAATTCAAAACAGTTTCCTTTCTTTTTGCACTCGCTATATCGTTTCATTTTCTCAAATTTAACAGAAAATGAATGAACAAAAAAACTTATCGGTCGTCGAAGAATAGGATAAAACCCATAGATTTTTTTAGAAAACGCTATTTAAATGAGACTTTAATGTGTCTTCACGAACGTTCAGATCCAGATCAAATATCTAATGAACTGTGGTTGGTGTAGACCTTTTTTACATAGAAAAAAATGAAAGATTTCACTGCCTCACCTTATCAGTTGGAGTTGATTGGCGAAGAGAAGAAAAGATGACCAAAACAGAAGTTCACTCGATTTTAATGCATTTAACTATTTAAGTAAGAGTGTAATGGAGTCATACAAAGTTAACAGAACTTTTAAATGGACTGTTGACCCTTAAACAGTTAGGCAAATTACCAGTATCCAATTTCCCGTAGCTGCCTGCAAGCGATATCTTCTATCTTCTCTCGACCTTCAGTACCACAATAGAAACGATAGAGGGAGAGGCCAAGACACCATGAACATAACTTTTAAAAGGTTCAGATTGGAAGCATTATGTGTCCTAGAACATATGGGTATTTTTATAGTTTAATGTGTTTAAAAAACTTTAGTATGTTAGTTAAAGTACACGTATGATGCATCATTAATCGCACTTCAAGCGGTGTGGGTGGCCTTGGTTGATTCTGATTAACGGGAGAAGTGGTCAAATGCGAATTTCTCTTTAAAGTAACTTCATGATAATTACTCTGCCAAGTTAAGTGGCCTCAAATACTTTTCTTAATTGTTTTAAAATTTTTATGAAGTTAGGTAATCATTCATATATAAATTTGCGAGTAAGTTCACTATCGTGATTGGTTAGGTGGTCATTTCACACTCATTTAATCACAAGGTCGTAGTCATGAGCTCAAAAGCATAGTCTTTGTAGTAACTTAATTACCTCATGCCTTCTGTTTCACTAATCCCAAACAAATTTCATCATATACTGTGCTATTCAAAGCAACACATCACAGAAATGCTGACCAATTCGCAAGGACATTAAAAGTTGAAAGAACGAAATAAACCAATTGTTTTAAAGACACTTTCAATGAGGCCTTAATGGTAAATTGTGTCCGAAACCATTCAAAAGGAGTCCTTACGTACTGAAGTACTAAAGAATAACAGATTTTTATTATTTTATGTATACAATTTTTATACACATATGAATGATTTCTTTACGCTACCTTAATTGGGTCAGATATCGAGCACCCTACCTTGGGCTAGACACGAAATTTGGCTTTTTTTCCCTGAACAAGGGTCAATTTCATTACTAATTGTTGCACATAACAAAAAATAGTTTGTAAATAAATACTTCAGGAAAAGACAAAAATAATTACGATTATGTATTTATTGAAAACTGGTTTCTTCAAAAATTACGATAGTCTATTTTTGGATTCGCTTTTTAAGTTATATCTATATTAATATCACATCTCCGGTGTCTAACTATGGAATAAAAACACCATTAAATGAATTTGGTACAGCAATTGTAACAAAGGAAATAAAATCAATAAGATAAAATAATACCCAAAAACTCATATATTTTTTAAGCTCAAAGATTTAGATAAATATTCTTATTGAAATGCCTGAGTTGGTAGTTTGAGATCTGCAATGCTGCAAACTTCAGATATGTAGCATAAATTAAGTTTCCTAGCTGCTAGAAGAAAAAAAGAGTCTTCATTTTTATAGTCTATTCAAAGAAATTGATAGATTGAAATGACCAACTTTTGTATACCCAAAGTCCTACGTTGAGTGTGGGCTTACCAGCCAATTTTCAAGGCGTGGTCTTTTTGGAGGTAAGCTTTCAAAAGACCTCAGGCGAATTAAATGTTACTACCAAAATTACGCATTCTAAGCTCCAATTGAAAGCGATGTTGTCATAAAAATTCAAATTTTAACACTGAGGCTGTATTATTGCTTTGACTTATAGAACGGAGTCTCACAGTTTTCCTCCTGTCTCCTTCCAGATCATGAATTAAAGACAGTCTCGTATGCAAAATACGATACAAGCGGTTAAATCTGAATTAAATCAATAAAGAAATTGGGATTAAATAAAAAATTGAGGTCGGTGAACTTTCCAGTCACGTTCGAATAGTTGAGTGCCGCACGTGGACTTGTCGACTAAGAAATAATGTCTCTTTTCAGAAGCTATCTGCTATTTTTGGTTTTTATAGAGGGAATTACGGAGACAGCAAACGTTATTTAACTTCAAATTACACTACAAAATTTTAAAAACTATGCAATCTATTGGTATATATATATATATTTTTTGCTAATCAAAAATTTAATTCTTTACTTGCTGCTCACACACTGGCAGTAGATCTTATACAAGATAATAGTAGTAACTTCAAAACACTTGTAATCAAAATTATTCAAATGTTAATAACATCGTTGGCATTTATTCTTCAAACCCATTCATAAGAGGGTGACTTTGATCCACTAGACCACTGACATTCGTGGAGTAAGTCGACCTTAAGTTACAAAATTCACTTCTATTTAGTACTTGAGTGCTAACTTCTTTAGCTTTTTCTATTTAATCCAAATATACTCGGCCTAAATTTAGAAGGAGCATGGGATCGTGTTTCAAATAAATCGGCAAATTATTTAATTCGGTTAATTAACTTTCAGTGAAATCCACCAGTCAGTTTATTAATGTCCGATTTGACCTTTCAAACATTTTCAACTGTATTTAGTAAACTTATTAAAAAATCGGAGTTACCTGAGGTTTTCCAGTAATTGCATTTCGGAACATCAGACTATGAGGCAAAGGAACCTGAAAATGAAAGTGATCGAAAATTTAATATTTTGGCCTAGGCTTAAAGTAGACAAAAAGTTAATAAAATTATGATGTTTTCTAGAAGGAAAGGAAACCGACTAATAATATGGCTAATAAGCAACTAAAATATTTGAATTGAGCCTCGTCAAATGTTACTCTTTATGAACTCCAATGCCCACTGCTAGTTCATGCCCCTTTTACTAACCTCTACCTGCTAAACATTTCATGAAGATACAACTGATATGCAACGAAATGCAAACTGTTCAAGTAAATCGACTTAAATAGAAATTCTGAATGTCATGAGGAAGATTCCTTCTAGAAATAAGGGGATCCTGAAGTTTAAATTCCAAATTTGACATCATAATTTCCTTGTATACTACTATTCAATGCATATATTATCCCCTGCAGAATTATTTCAATATTCCATAATTTACTTTCTAAAAAGGATCTTGTTTTGAAGTGATTTATAAAATTAACAAATAGATCAATAGAGACACAAATATTCTCTTCCAAGTCCATTTTGCTCAAACGAAGTAAGGAGGGTTTTTTGCTAACCTCTATTAATAATGAGTCGCTATGGGGTGTGCGATAGACTTACCTCCACGTGGTGTACCCCGGGCAACGTATACTCATACGGCAAAAAAGTCTATAAACCGGCAGTTGACTTCTGACTTCAAACTGCCATGACCTCACTGCATGTCATATTCGACCTCTTCTACAGCGCTCATCTTACCTTTTCTCTACCTTCGTCTTTGAAACACTCTTCTGCCCCCCTCTCGACTTTCCTTCACTTTGATGTTCATTCCCCTCTGTGAAGCCCAAAGTCAACTAAAGGGCTAATGATAACCGTCAAAACGCCTGCCATTTGATATAAATAAATAAATAAGGAGTCACTATTATTATTCCTCAATAATGATTCGCTTACAGACTCAATATCTGAGTAATGAATGTTGGCGCAATCTATTTTCGAATTCATTGTTGAAATGCCGAGAAAGACGTAATTTGAGTTGGTAAATATTTTGAATTATTACTACATAAGTTCTATGCCAATCACTAATCTTCATTTCCAGATACTGGGATGCATTTTAATAATCCTCTGTGGGTTTTACTGCACATGGTAACTCTTCTCATCAGACAAAGTCATGAACATGGTGACTGTGTAAATGCCAATTATTGCTTGACACAATGAGTAATTATGTAGAACAATAATTACGTCAGAAAATTAAAT